GATATTAATTACTTGACTTCACTTAGCCTTAATTTCTCCTATATCTGTTATTCTATATCAACAACTAAATAATTTATAAATTAAAGATGTTGCTGCAACTATCTTTGAGTTATATTGATATATTTCTGCAACATAATGCATGAATTATTCGAAATTTTCAAATGTTAATTATTAAAGATATATTAGTCTTATGGGAATGTACGCAAGCTATCTAATAAAGAAGTATATACAGAGTGAACTTAAGGATGTAGAACTTTAGAAAGTTAATAAAGGGAAGAGCATAATACCTTGAAAAGCAAAACGTTAGTACCCTAAGTAATATTGAGTCCTTGTAAGTTTGGTGACTTGGGTACAATACGTCTTCTACATTTCGCATTTTTAAAAATAAAGCAACTGAAAATAATAACTCTAGGGTAAATAATTGAAGACACTGTCAATTACTAATAAAGATAACATGTAAAACTACAGTAATATAAGTACAAATACAATAAGAAGTAAAAAGTCAAATAATACTATAATTAACTATATGTGTCTTCGAACAAGGCGATTAATCCCAAAACTGTGTTTCCTTAAACTAGCAAGATGAATTCACAAGTATGGTTGCCATATGCGCCTTTCATCCCTGGCATTTGAGTTCAAATAAATAAACTGTCACAAAACGAAACTAATTGACAAAACTCAATTAAGTTAGCATATGAAAAAATGTTGTAAAACCTATTATTTTGTAAAATTTGATAAATTATGCAACCAAATACCATATTATTGTTTAAACATTAAAGCAATAACCTTAGATTAGGCAAAAATATTAAAGAACCTTCTGGACTACTTAAGAAAAAGAAGCATAGCGAGTTGCTGGAAACTGCATTTTCCTTAAACTGCTTTCCTTAGAGGTGTAGCAGAATTGTCAATCGTTTGTCAGCTGCCTAATATAAAAAATGATTATACATTGCTGTCCATCATGTATTAATACTGGACTTCACTGAGCCTTAATAGTTCTCCTATATCATGTTATTATATAGTCAACAACTAAATAATTGATTTTGTCGCTTTCTGATATCATTAATTAATTTGAAATTTTTCGGTTATCAGTTACAAAATCAAAAACATTGAGCCCCTTGATTAAGAAGACTGTTCTAAATTATTTCATAAACTGCTTTGTTAAGAAATTTCTTGAACATGATTATTTTTCATTTAGTTCAGATTCTAAGCATTCTAACAATTTTATCTGTAAGAACATTCTAGTCTTTTCTATAAGCACAGTCTTTTATGATGGAGTCACATATTCCTCAAACTCTAAACTTAGTGTATTGTTCCTCTCGTATTATGGAAGAGCCCCAACAGCAATATTTCCGATCTTAATTAAAACACCCAGAGACCCGAAGCGAATCTTCACAGCACATCTAAAGCATATTCCTTGTCATTAATAAACTGAGTTGCAGATAACGACCAATAGAATTTCCTCTTAAGCTCTCCCCTCCTAGCTTGTTGAATCCGTCCTTCCGGGCACAGCGAATTGAATTCGCTGACAAGGTGACTTTAAAGTCTCCTCTAATGGGTGAAAGTAATTAATCGTACCATGGATTAGATTGTAACGAGGAAACCGATTTGAGCAAAAGAGCGGTTTGAGAGATAAATTTGAGCGCTTTCTGCTGCTGGAGGCTATATTGCTAATTTGATTTCTTTGAGAATAGCATTCTGCGGTGTTGCGTTATTTTCGCCAGTAGGCTTGTTAGGCTGACCTTAGGTCACAAGCAGCTTGCGCGCTATTCTAATTATGCAGTCGTTGGGCTAATCTACTTTTCTTAGTTTTAGTCAATCCATTATTTTTAATTTAAGCCAGAATTGTTGGCTTCTGTAAGTACGAGTGGATCCGTCTGTTAACTTTTATTTGAGACAAATAAAAGAGTTCTTTACACCCTCACCCTGTCTTTGTGGTACTTACAAGACATAGCGATAATCCGCTTTTATTCTTAAGAGTTCTCGTACATTTGATGTTACCAAAGAATGCGAGACTGTCACATAAAGTCCGGATATTAATTACTTGGACTTCACTTAGCCTTAATAGTTCTCCTATATCATGTTATTATATAATCAACAACTAAATAATTTATAAATTAAAGGATGTTGCTGCAACTATCTTTGAGTTATATTGATATTATTTCTGCAACATAATGCATGAAATTATTCGAAATTTTCAAATGTTAATTATTAAAAGATATATTAGTCTTATGGAATGTACGCAAGCTTATCTAATAAAGAGTATATACAGAGTGAACTTAAGGATGTAGAAAACTTTAGAAAGTTAATAAAATGGAAGAGCATAATACCTTGAAAAGCAAAACGTTATGTACCCTAAGTAATATTGAGTCCTTGTAAGTTTGGTGACTTGGTACAATACGTCTTCTACATTTTCTGCATTTAAAAATAAAGCAACTGAAAATATGATAACTACTAGGGTAAATAATTGAAGGACACTGTCAATTTACGTAATAAAGATAACATGTAAAACTACAGATAATATGAGTACAAATACAATAAGAAGTAAAAAGTCAAATAATACTATAATTAACTATATGTGTCTTCGAACAAGGCGATTAATCCCAAAACTGTGTTTCCTTAAACTAGCAAGATGAATTCACAAGTATGGTTGCCATATGCGCCTTTCATCCCCTGGCATTTGAGTTCAAATAAATAAACTGTCACAAAACGAAACTAATTGACAAAACTCAATTAAGTTAGCATATGAAAAAATGTTGTAAAACCTATTATTTTGTAAAATTTGATAAATTATGCAAACCAAATACCATATTATTGTTTAAACATTAAAGCAATAACCCTTAGATTAGGCAAAAAATATTAAAGAACCTTCTGGACTAACTTAAGAAAAGAAGCATAGCGAGTTGCTGTAAACTGCATTTTCCTTAAACTGCTTTCCTTAGAGGTGTAGCATAATTGTCAATCGTTTGTCAGGCTGCCTAATATAAAAATGATTATACACATTGCTGTCCATCATGTATTAATACTTGGACTTCACTTAGCCTTAATAGTTCTCCTATATCATGTTATTATATAGTCAACAACTAAATAATTGATTTGTCGCTTTCTGATTATCATTTAATTAATTTGAAATTTTTCGGTTATCAGTTACAAATCAGTAAAACATTGAGCCCCTTGATTAAGAAAGACTGTTCTAAATTATTTCATAAAACTGCTTGTTAAGAAATTTCTTGAACATGATTATTTTTCATTTAGTTCAGATTCTAAGCATTCTAACAATTTTATCTGTAAGAACATTCTAGTCTTTCTATAAGCACAGTCTTTTATGATGGCGTCACATATTCCTCAAACTCTAAACTTAGTGTATTGTTCCTCTCGTATTATGAAGAGCCCCAACAGCAATATTTCCGATCTTAATTAAAACACCCAGAGACCCGAAGCGAATCTTCACAGCACATCTAAAGCATATTCCTTGTCATTAATAAACTGAGTTGCAGATAACGACCAATAGAATTTCCTCTTAAGCTCTCCCCTCCTAGCTTGTTGAATCCGTCCTTCCGGGCACAGCGAATTGAATTCGCTGACAAGGTGACTTTAAAGTCTCCTCTAATGGGTGAAAGTAATTAATCGTACCATGGATTAGATTGTAACGAGGAAACCGATTTGAGCAAAAGAGCGGTGACTTTGATCTCGAATGAGAGAGACTGGCAAATTGGAGTTAAGTTCTTGTCTCTTGTCAAGTTATGTAATTTTCAGAAATTGAATTATTAGAGCAACAAATCCAATAGTCCCTACTTCTGCAGTGTATTAAATTTAAATTCTTAGAATTAGAGGTTTAGAATTATCAATTTTCTGAGAAAAGAAACTCAGTGAAAGTTGTCTGGAAGTGTAAAACATTCTATTTTGTTGAAGCAGTTGAAATTACATAGAGCTTCAATATGCAACATTGCCTTAATTATTGCATTTTGAAACGAGTGTATTGATTCATATTTTTGTGTAACATTTTATATTTTTAACTTAACGTATGGTTGCATAGTTTTGTGTAATATCTTGTATTTATTTCTTTATAACCGGATTTTTGTGCATTTTTATTGTTATGCATTCTTTCTTATTTACTTAACTTAAATAGAGTATTTCGTTTGTAATTTTACATTTACAGAGTGTATATTTCATATAATTTTGAAAACTGAGGTAACTTATTACTTTTAAAGTTATTTATTTCGTACGTTATGTTATAGATCTGTTAATTCTAAACCGATCTGTTAGTTCTAAACCGATCGACATTTGTATCGTAAACGCTAACGTGCTGGTTCTAAACATTTTTGTCCCATGCACCACTTTCTCCATTTCTAGATCATTCCCCCCCCAAAAAAAATGTCGAAAAATACATTCAAATACATATTCATTTATTTAGATTAGTTATAACGTATTTTGTAAATTAAACAAAACATATCGAAAATTTTGATAAATACGGAAATTTGAAAGAAAATATTTTTTTTATATAAATAAACTAAAACTGTATACTTAATAGCTAAGCAAAAGGTTGACCACTTTCTCTCCCTGACGCTACGAAAATTCCTCTGGTTAAGAACCTATGCTATAGCAGAACAAGAACAGGAGATATGTACAAACACATTTTCAAGGGCTTTGACAAAATATTTTGTGACCAAATTGGAAATACTTGAGAATTCTCAAATTTCTTTCTGCAATTTCCCGAAACTGTATTTTGGAAACCATAAGATCCGTATTTTTCGAAACTTCCATTAATACTTCTCTGCTCTTTGAGTACTCTATGAATAAGAATCTGCGACCACCCGTAAATGAGTTGAATCGAGACTTTGCTGTGTTTTATACTGTGAGTTTTCTGTTTGATTACTGATTTAGAATTGATTCCAAAGATATAATTGATTCCTTTGCAATTGATTCCAAAGATATACGACACACTTCGCGTGTTAAGAATGTCACTTTATTTCTGATTTATTTTCTCTTTATATTATTTATAGCTCTTAACATGTGATGGGATCCACTGGAGGTGAACGTCGTGGGTCTGAGAAATCTTCCTCAACTTGAGCTGAATAGATATGCTGGTTCATGGTTTGCCGGACGACCAAAATGTTGTGGTGCACTGCGGCTGTACGATAAAATCCATACTTTCCCAAAATCACAATCACAAACCATGATAGCATCAAGCCCGACATTAATCGCAATGAACTCGCTCTTTGAAGACACAGCAAGTGTCAGGGTTGCGTTGCTTTATTGTAGTTTCAAAGTGACGGATCCTAATAGAGATATTGCTGTCATTACAATCTTTTACACGAGAACCATCAGTACAGTCCTTGTATTTTAATAATGTATGTAATCAATTTTCAAACTAGTAAATATTTAAAAACTTTTCTCTCTTATAATTTGTTATAAATTTAAAATTTTAATGAAACAGATTGAAAGGATGGACTGTATTATTGTTATGTTATCATTCTGTTGATGACGGTAATATTATGTTCAAAATTGGACCAAGAAGGAAGAAAATTGCAATGTGGATAATTCAGATGTTTGCAACTCTAGATTTATGTAGTATAAATATTTGTGTATATACGTATACGCATATATGTAAACTACCCTCGGTTGCTTCTTTATTTACACCGCAGTTATCTCATAACTTATCACCAATGTACCATGCTTAACTTAATTTACTTAATGTCACATTGGCTTTGGATAAGGGTGATTTCGATAAGGATTCACTAAATAATTTTTTTTTCCGCTTTCAAAAAGCAGTCTTAAATTTATATATCCAATAAAGCTGAATTCAACTGCTATAGTAATAAATAAATTTGAACTGGAAATGTAACTTCAAACTGAAACGAAAACCCTTCGTTTCCAATAATTTTAGGCAATTTTTTCCATAGTTTGTGCTATTAAATGCAAATACATACTTTTAAGTAGAAGCAAATATTTAGTTCATTGTATGCGGCAACAGTGAACTGTGAAAAATAATCCTATTCGGGATAGAACTTCGAATATATGCAGGTACTGATGGAGTACATCAATTAAAACTTGCCTTATATCAAAAGAGTTAAACGCTTTTGATATAAGGCTTGTGTGAGTTTCCGGTTTTTTTTTATTTTATTGATTTAAATAAAAATCCACTTAAATCATATGGTTTCTAATTACAAATATTAAATATTTTAATGAAATGACACTAGCTGGACTCATTAAAATCATTACATATTTTTTTTTCTTTTTTATGATAACTCTTTCAGACGGCTGGCCGTTCGAGTGGCTAGTTGTCAAAGAAATAATGCACATAATATTTTTAAAAAATGTATGACTAGCCCTAACATTCGTCAATTCTAAAGTAGAAAGCGATGCTTAATAATAAAGCTAAAAAACAAAAAAAAAAGTGTGTTAACAAGAGGTAATCCAAGAGTAACTTGGTAATCTGCGACGCTCAGCGAGACCATACAAACGTTAACAAGTCATCTGGTACGACATAGATTTAAAACCAAATAAGAATTCAAAATAAAATTCATTCAAACCGAATGTATAACAAACTATTAAGTATCCTAAAGGAGTAAATAGTCACAAAAGGACGATTTAGATTAACCTTTAAATTGCCTGCACTCTTTATTATTAATTTATTACGCTTCATGCGCGTTCACTGCCTTTTATGTCATATAATTTCCACATTTTTAAATAAGAATTTCAGTTTGGTTACATTTGAACTCTAACATATAACTTTTAATTTTAGATTATGAGTGGGAAATTACAACCTTCCCTGTAATGCAAAAAATTCAGTAATCATCAACCAACGTTTGCTCAGATAAATTTTATTCTTTCTCCAGTGTGACTCAGATTTACTGAGGCTCTAAAATACAAGCGCTTAATAATTTATACATGTAACATATTTTCATAGTCGGATGGAATTTTACTGCAGATTGCAACCAAAACTTGAGCAAATCTTTATGAAAGAATAATTTTCATCTATCAGAGCCAAAAGCAAAATACCTGAAACCCCTAAAGCTCTATATCTGAGCGACACAAATCCCTTTCTACTAACAAACACGTCAAAGACGACCGCACAACCTCAATGTAAGACAAGCCATAAGTGCGATAAAACGGTCACTTTATAGCCCGGAAGATATTCTCGCGGTTTCATACTACGCAGTTTCTCGCAGCCTCTCTAGCAGGTGGTACATCCCTGTGGGAGCTATAATAGGCTCTAAAAGTGTTGAGATTTAGGTTTCTTAATGGATGTGATGGTATTTTATGTTGGCTCTGACCTCTTTGAAATAGGCTTAATGGGTAAAGAAAGTACTGGGAAGACGAGAAATGTTACTATTTTTCAGGAAAGATTTTCCTTTTTTGAAGAGGTGCCACTCTGACAGTGACAGAGTGGTTATCTTGTATAGTTACACTTTAAACGGTGCGAATAAGCTTGAGAAGAACAAATCTATTTAGCGTTTGAAATCAAACAGAGCTATGCATTTCAACAGTCTTTGCATATGCAGGTTCATATGTTCCAGACGTACTCAAAAATGAACATTACAAACAAATTATTTATATTTCTTCATTTAATAACCAAAAATGTCCTGAAAGAACTAATTAACCGCAAAAGTAAATAGATTAGAGATTAAGAATACTTACTTCTCTTTCTGCACTGGTAAGTGGTTAAAATGTGGTTATGCGAATTTTATTATTTCAGAAGGGAAACCAACGCCGCTGAATGAAACTCATTTCATTGTAATTTATTCTTAACACTTGAATGCATGGCTTACATGCATGCGAAAGAGTAAGATTAATATGGGAATTGATCATGTAAGAGAAATTAAGTACTGGTAAACTAATTAGCTAAAGAAAGTTATGATAGTAAGCTAAACTTAATGGGCGACAATCATAATGGCGCTCAGTACGGTAATCTGCCCAAAATGTAGGTGACCATTGTAGAGGATTTTCTAGAAGAAATGTATTCTTCTTCTTACATTTATTCCGTTCGTTTTCCGAGAGTTATAGTGTACTCAGCTTTATCTACTCTGCCTTTGCAGCATTTAATCTGGAGGGAGAAAAGTTAAGACTATTTTTAGTTTATTTTCCTAATGTTAAAATAGGAAAATGCGAATTATTTTGCTCTGATACCATTCACATATTTCACTAGAAATCTCCGCTGAATAAATACATGTACGTAAAGTAAATTTAAAGTCACAAACGATGTACGCTATCAGAAGCAAAGCTTGCGAGAGATTTGGATGAGTATCAAATGTGCACTAGTCTAAACTTCCGTTAATAGCTGTTTCTTTAACTGCAAAATTCAAAAATTCACAGCTTTTTCACTAGAAAGTGTTCATTATTAGTTTTCCGAGATGCTAAACTAAATATTGCATTAATGGTAGGTTTTTCCTTTAATATTGGGATTTATTTGCACCCCAAAGTACCCAAGCTCCACCTGCTTGGGCTTCAGCTGGAATTATGATTTGGCTCAAACTATGGAAAGTGCTTCATTCGATCTCTCGTGCTATTTTCTGCTAAAATTTTAGCCTCGTATCAAAACAAAAATTTTAAATTTATAAGAGAAATACGTTCATCAGACCTTAGCACGAGTTTGGATTTTCACAAAGTACACATTAAAAAAACCTTCCATGACTGGGTATCGCTTAAACTGCAAAATCTCAGAAATGCTAATGTTTGAACTTTTCACGACTCTGAGTAGTACGCCTCTGACATTAGTAATATTTAACCAATAGCATGAATGACGCCTAATCAACAAGAATGTGCATCCATTTTTAATACCCGTGGATGTCTATACGTACTGCCAAGAATCGACAGCAACAAAGCCATGAAGTTGGAAGTAACACATGTATTAGACTAGAATAGAAGAGAAACACGCTAATGTGACAATCAAAACCGTGAAAAAACAACCTTATATTTAGCGTAGGTATAATGAAACACTCAATCGATTTCGAGGGCAGCTAAAGGTCCCTCCTCATCAGGAGAAAGAAATACATAGAAAGAAGAAAATAGGAATCACAGAAACACGTGGTGCTTATCAGCACTGCACGTCGTTATAACTAGATTTTTAATCAGAGTTGCACTGGCCGCCTACTTTTACTGAGCCAGGCTGTCTGATCAAGCATAAAGAAATATTAGCGAAGTTAAAATAGGGAGCGAGGGGCAAATGCACATTACGCTCAAAATCTGAACTTCAAATAATGATTAAAAATCTAGTTATAACGACGTGCAGTGCTGATAAGCACCACGTGTTTCTGTGATTCCTATTTTCTTCTTTCTATGTATTTCTTTCTCCTGATGAGGAGGGACCTTCAGCTGCCCTCGAAATCGATTGAGTGTTTCATTATACCTACGCTAAATATAAGGTTGTTTTTCACGGTTTTGAACACATGTATTGTTGTTATAGCGTACTACTGATTCGCAGAGAAACAGATCCTACAGGCAAAATTAATATTAGTGGTAATGAAGTCACTGATGACTGTCAAAAGAGGGTAGTGAAAATGTAACGGTCGCTGGCTCTTCGCTTACTTACCAAGAACTTTACTCAAATGAAAGATCTAAATATAATATGGCGTATTCCACCTACGCACCAATGGTAGACAGGAACATCCCCTGACTCCCTGCTGGAAATCAAATGTGACCGTGGCTCCTAGACTGCTTTGGCTAGGCTAATAAGTGGCCACCTTAAATGTCTTTCCTTTGATACTAGCAGAAAAATCCAGTCCGTTTGCAAAAAAATGCTGTGACCATCCAGCTTCACCGAATCATATACTGGTTGCATCGGACTTTCTAAGGGGAACGTATATTATATTTAATACGATTTGGGTTACATACTGTCACCAGATATTCGTCAAAGATCTTTCCTCTGATTTTGCTGATAATTTTATTGAAAATAACAACTTTATTCCTTCTTGTTTTATTTAAATAACAGCTTACTATTTCTTATCAATAAATGTGTGTGTGATGTTTTCATGAGCAGGAGTAAAACGCTTTATAAAGAAGCTGATATATAATGGAATTTAAAATCATTAAGTTTTAAAAGTGAATTTTTCTTTCTTGACTTTTCTCCAACAGACTATATTAAACATGTTGTTTCTTCTTTTACTAATCCAATTATTTTTTTTTAATTC